ACCTATATAAACCCGATAGTATCACAGAATGTTCGTGGCAATAGTATTTAATAACTCACATGTACGTTTGAGAGCTCCGTAGCACAGGCTAGACCTTGTCGCTAGATACTTTGCGACACCGATTTACGGCAACAGTTTACACGTGATGTTATGATTCCGGGGTTCGCACACGGATGTATAATAAGAACGGGTTCGCAGCGTCACGCCCATACCTATGCCAGCCCAAGCCCCCAGGAAGTGCGCCGGACTCAGATGAAAATATTCGTGGTGGCCAAACGGCGGTACTACACTTCCGTTTGGTTGCCAGGCCCGGAAACACTTTTTCCCATTGACTTACATGGGGAAAGAGTGGTCTGTAAATCGTAGAGATGGCAAATCCGGATCATTTTACGGACTCAGGGTCTTCTGAGTCAGTCATTGAAGAGATCCGGATCATACGAGTCATTTGAGTCATATGAGTCAGCATGACCAAGACCGTAGAAATCCTATTGGTGAAACCGAAAAGTTGTTGCATTTCACGAGCATATTATTATTCCATATATTTTGAATATATATATATATTTGTATATATATATATATATATATAATATCTGCATGTATATTTTCTATTTCGACATGTATATTTTATTTTTATTTCTATTCTTGTATATTTTGTAGTTTTGTTTTATTGTAAAATGCCTTTTATGCTGCTGTAACAACAACAATTTCCCAATTTGGGATCAATAAAGTACTATCTATCTATCTATCTATTAAACTGACGTTATAATTAACCTCAGCTACACAGTGTATTTTGCTTTAATAAAAAATGTTGATCACAAAAAAAAGGGTTATTTTGCGATTTGGCAAATCTGAGTCTGCTCGTGCATGAGGACGAGTCTGCTGGATCTGCTGCTATATACGGCTCCGAGTCCGCACGAGTCCGCACTGCTGTGTGTTGCACACACAGTGAGTCAGGATTTGCGAATCCGAGTCTGCTGTGGACTCGTGCATGACTGACGAGTCTGCTGGATCTCTGGATCTGCTGCTATATGGTTACGGCTCCGAGTCCGCACGAGTCTGATCCGCTGTGTGTTGCAGCGAGTCAGGATTTGCGAATCTGCGAATCTGCGAATCCGAGTCTGCTGTGTGGACTCGTGCATGACGACGAGTCTGCTGGATCTCTGGATCTGCTGCTATATACGGCTCTGAGTCCGCACGAGTCTGCTGTGTGTTGCAGCGAGTCAGGATTTGCGAATCTGCGAGTCTGCTGTTGGAGCCGTCGGCTCCTCTGAGTCCCCACGAGTCTGCAGGAAGTTTCACTGATCCGCGTCCCCTCCCCTGAGCCAAACGATCACTTCTGGCAGCTATCCTGTATACTTGCTAAAGGGTAGGTAGATGGACTTGGGGTACGTTGTAATGTGATTTTACATGTTATAAAGAGAGTAGCGAGTGACGCAATTTATAGTTTTAATTTGTACGTCACACCAAGTGTGGGACTCAAGGACTCGGGTTAATGGAGAGGGGAGACTCGTCATGACCAGCTCATTTCTAGGATCCGGGTTAATGATCCGGATGAATCAGGACTCGCCCATCTCTAGTAAATCGTTGGATAATTTTTTTTAAACTAAATAAACTACCCAGTATGAACACTTGTATAGCCCTTATTAAAAACATTCGTTCCTCAAGTTGTAAAAATGTGCTAATAACGTTATTCTGAGAGTTATTTCCCTCTGCATTATGAACGCGCATCTAACCCACGGGACCGCGCCGCCCGGCACGTTCATGTGATGTGACGTGTTCAGGACTACATGAGTTTTACCTTTACCCATGGATGCATTGCACAATAAGAACGGACCCATATCGCCTTACTGCCAGCCCACGGAGCTGTAATAATGGATATATTGCACATGTTTGCTGTAATTCATCATTTGTAAAATATTATACTACATGGGCTGTATGATGTAAATCTTGTATTAAATAAAGTTAATATTACCGACGTAGATTAACGTCCCTGTAGCTTCTTATTGCACTTACAATATACCATTAAAGTAGTTGAACGTTGCTGTTTGCTATTACTATAATACCACGCAGGGATAAACCAGAGTTTACAACCTTGTGGGCACAACACGTTTTGACCCAGATTAATTAGCTATACCATATGATATCGCCCGAGGAAGTCGTCATACTTATACATATATAAATAAAGATATATGTGTCAAAGCTCTAATCAAATTAACAGTTGTATTAATTATATTTGTATATGTATATATATATATATATATATATATATGTATATAGCCTGTGTTGTATATTTATATACACAAATGAACAACCTTGTGTGTGTCAAATAACAAGTTGTATTGTAGTGTTTATTTTAGTGTTGTTTTATGCTTATCCACATTTAGATTTCAGAGCACAGGAGAATGCTGGGCACAACATAAAGCTCAACAGTGAAGCTGGCAATGCTGAACAAAAACATCTAGTTATAATATTTATTCAGCTGAAAAAGTCAAAGCTCTACGAAAATGTAATTAAAAACACATAAGCATTTCAGGTAGAAATCAGCATTTTATATAGAAATTCACAAAAATAAGAAATGAAACCTAAAAGAGATGTTTACCTCTGATGGCTGGCATAGTAGAACTAACAAACCAAAGGCAGATTGAGGCCCCTGCCACTTCTGTAACAAATGGGGCAAATCATTGTCACAACCCATGTTTAGTGACAACAATTTTTAATACAATTTATATAGATTAAAAGGTAATATAATATTGATTACAATGATTCTATTAAAAAATCCACCAAACATGATCAACAGGAAAGCCCTCTGAAGGCATGTTATGGTGTTTACAGACGGGAAGCCCTTAAGCAAATAGAAGAAGAAGAAAAAGAAGAAGAAGAAGAGTTGAAGCCCTCGCTGACACGGCAGCATGAAGGAAACTGAGATCCACTGACATCCTTGCGTACATGATTTCTAAATTAATTACATTTAGATAAATTCCAAAGGTATGCCACTTTTAGCACTTTAGCTCTATTTTATACCGACAATAAATGTGGATCCAAAAATAAGTGGACTTTTGAGTGTGTGATATTTTATAGATCTAACTACTGTGACTGATTATGTCAAAAAACATTTAAATGTTTTTCTTTGATAGACACATCTTTAACTTTTCCTTTATTTATTTTGTTAGCATCCATGAGTAACAACAGCTGCATAGGATAGTCAGGTATTGTTGGTACACTTTGGAATCATACCAATCACTTTAAAACAAGAATCCCTTAAAGGTCACCTATCATGCTATTTTTAGGCAATAGCATAGGTCTCATAAAAGAATATAAAAAATATGTCTGTGAAGTGTTTTGGTAAACAGATCACCCATTCTAGCCATGCCTCATATCCCTCTATTTCTCTTCCTGTTCCAAAAGTGCTGATTCTATCTTTCTCCAACTCTCTTTGTTGCAGCCGTTGAGACGGGATATTTTATCTAGGCATATTAAAAACTCTGTAGATTTTAGAGTTCCCTCTTAGACCTCTGGTAAAGTCCCCTCCTAGATCTGCTTCATGTGTGAGTTTGTGGTCAATAAGTAAAGAATTGGAGCATTACATTGATTTTAATGACCAAAAAGAACAATCCTTTCACAACTACATTTCCCATCAGACATTGTTCCCTGTAAGATGTGAGATATTATATCATCTAAAAGTGCTATGTGGCATTTTCATTTATGTTCATAAAGAATCTTCTTTTAATTGAGGACATTTTTTAAATGTTTTTTCAAAGCTTCTGATTTGAATAGATATGATTGACTAACTTGCCTGAGTTCTATTCCTGAAGCACTGAATGACAAAAAGGTTGAAATGTTCACACTTTAAAATCAATAAAAGTACAAAGTATGAATTTCTGTGTACAAGTTAATTATATGTTTTTATTACATGGCTTAGTTGAATACTGTATTCTGATTGGTCAATTTAGACATTTTAGACTAGAGTCTGTTAAGTTAGGGATAATGTGCAGCTAGGCGGTCATTATTGGATCCTGGTCAGTGATGGACATCAGGTCTCGGGTCTTTCAACATCATACACCCACGTCCTGCATGGCGACTTGTGTTCAGGTGGCATTAGCTCCTCCCCATGGACCGCCTCTCCTGATCCAAAGCCATCTCCAGGCTCTCTGCTGCCTCAGTGATGGGATGCTCTCCTCTTTGTACCTGTGAGGCCCACTGCACTAAGGGCTTTGTAGAGTGATTGCCCCGCAAAGCCCCTGCAGCCAACCTCAACCTCTCCAACATGGTGATGTGGTTTTCTCCGAAACCAGGAGGATCTCTGGCCTCAGAGTGGTCGTGTCAATGTGATGTGGAAACTTCAGCTGTGGTACTGGGGAGCGCTCCAGCCTTCACAAAGGAGATCCTCTGGGATTTGATGCTGTTAATCAGTTTGTCACACTCTAACAGTCTACCATTTTAGGCTAAAATATGAATAAAGCTGGTCTATAGAAACATATTTTATATAGTACTTGAGGGTCTGTTAAAGTGTGGAAGGTTATCTAGCACAATCTGGATCACTTGAAGACAATTCTTCTCCCCCCCCCCCCAAAATGATGAAGCTAACATGTTGCTGCATAGCCACAATGAACTAGGCACCAACGGGAGACAAACAATGTGTCTATATCAGGCTGAAAATTGTTTTAGCGCACCTAGCCTGGGGAAAAAAGTAAAAGTAGAAATATCTCATTGTAAATACTCCTTTATTTGATCCACTTTAAAAGGCTGAGAAGTAATAAAGTTCAAAATGGTCTGAAAAATATGAAAGTAAGAGTAGTCATAAGCGTAATCATTCCATGGTTATCTATTAACATATGTATATGTAGATTATAATAATTCATCGTCTTTTCTAAGCTGATCATACGTTTTATATCAAGAAAATCAATCTGCAAAATAATGAAAATGTGACTTTACGATCAGTAAATCTTTGCACATTGATTTTTGAGACAAAGTTAATTTACTTTCAAATAAATACAATTGAGAAGTTAAAAATCACTTTTATTAGCATACAACATTTGCATTAGGCCAAAAATAAATAAAATAAAATAAATAATAGTTTATAAATAAACTGTAGGCAACATCATTTCATGGTTAATAATGCTGACAACAAAACATTATTTTGTACCCCAAAACCTTTATGTAAAACACACAAAATCCATAATCATTTAACTTGAGTATTGGGGAGTTGTCATTTTAAAATGGTAACTAACCATTAACAGTTTACATCATTTAACTTTATCAATAGTTCTCTGTCTTTAAAGCTGCATTCATTATTTTTGTAATGTGATTAGATCAAAAGAGACTGTAATTGAAAGGGGGTCACTCCTTGTGATGAATCCATAACCGTGCAGCTTTACAGAGCTCTTTAACTCCTTTTGGTTTTACTCAGCAACAGTTTTGATAAATGATCAATTATTCATTTTCGTATATTAAGCAAAATATTCCAAACATTTGCTGTGTGATTAGATATGATGGCAAACTTCATATCTTTACGTATTTTACTTTTTATCTGTTGTCAGATAACAAAGTTGTCACAGTTTGTTTTTTAACGTGCTTTTTCTTCACCTCAAAAACAGTTAATACAGCTTTAAGTAGCAGAAACTCCAAATAAAAGAGGATATAAAAGTAACAGATTCAACCCTTTAGGATCTAACAGCAAAGATGTTAAAAAAACGTGATGCCGATTACCAGTTAAACCCAAGTCCAGGAGCCCTGAGGGCATACAACTGACATCTGCACGCTTGTATGTTCATTTGAGTCTTTGTATCAAACATTGAACTCTTCTGAACAGGAACTTTCAGATAATATATATATATATATATATATATATATATATATATATATATATGTTCTTTACACAGAAGGAAGATCAGTAACACTATCAATCAGTAATAGCTCTGACAGTCCACATTATGGTACTGTCAGATAACCTGATTGAAAAATCTCTCCCTTATTTTGTTCCAAATCCCTTATTCGTCACCATGGATCAGATGTTGGGTTTGAAGCCTGTTTTGACTGTTGCAGTAGATGGAGCTGAAAGCCCTGACACACCAAGCCAACCATTGGTTAAAGGGGACTGTTATCGGCTACTGTTGGGCCTTTATGGCTGACCACCACGGTTATGTACAGGGTTTGTGGTTGTATAGTATTTAAACTTATCTACATCCAGGATAAAGAATGCATTTCTTTACCCCAGAAAATGGATCTGGAGAATACTTAAAGTTGATATTTAAGTGGGGGATTCTAACTAATGGAATTGACGTTGTGTTGGGAAGCTAACAAAAGGTCACACAAAGGTTTTCCTGCTTGATTCCCCCGTGAAAAGGATGGCCAAGCACAGTGGTTTACTTATAAATGGAGGATAATGCAAAGGCTTAGTGGCTTCCTGATTATTCAGCAAAAGGCTTTACACACTACATAAAAAAACACAACATTGTGAATTAAATGTATCAATTTAACCTATTATCATCAATCTGAATGTATGTTGACTTTTGTCAAGCTTCAATAAATGATGATTAAATCACAATTGTTGGAATTGTTCAGTTGTCTGACAACCGTAACAGAAAAATATGTAAAGGATGATGACTATATTGTGTATTGGAAGAAGAGATTTAGCCTTTTTTCTTTTGTTCAAGTGCTTCACTGTAGACAGAAGTCTCTGCCAAAACAACCTGCACTTTTTGGTGGCATCAGTTCTTTGACGTCAGCTTGGTGTGTCAGGGCACTAAATCTGTTAATGAGAGCTATAAAACAGCATATAGAAAATATTCAATGATGCAAAGCTCAAACCAGACCAGCTCCTTTACATAATCAACGATTCAATCTCGCAAACCTTAGTTATTAACGCAGCAAGATTGAAGTCTGGAAAACGTGATTCTGCAACATAGCAGCCTATTTTTCCAGCCTCTAATATATTCAGAAGCTGGCTTTTCTGGAAAGTTTTGGGAGATATCTGGTAGTTCCAGAACTGCAGCCTCCTTCTTCCAGATTAATCACTGGAAGCAAAGACTGACAGTGTATTTTAAAGCGTTTGACATCCACATTGTCCCATAGGCATGAAAAAAATGTATCACACAAGCTTAACAGTAGTCGGATACAAATGATCAAAACTACCGAGATAAGTGTGAATGTCATAAACAAGGGTTAAACTTTAAATCACAGTGTGTTCACGGCTAATATTGCCAGTTTAACCTAAGATGTGGTCTGTGAGGGTAAGCCCTAGAGAAGGTGCTGATGAGGAAGTGAAAGCTCATCATCAATCAAACCTTAACAAGGAGCTGCCAGGTATCCTTAGCGTAGCATAAAGAAACAGCTAGTCTGGCTCTGTCCAAAGTTAATAAAACTTCCCTCACAGTTTTCCCATTTAATGGCTACAAATGGATTTTTCGACTGGCCTGTTTACCATTACATTCTAAATGTGTTGTATCCACAGACCATCTTAAACACTGTAGCTCATTCAAAATTGGATTTTGAAGCAAATCTGACTCCAAAAGCACAATTTTTTAAAGAAAACATTTTTCTTCTTTCAAAAAATAACTTAAATCTTGTTATTTTTCCATGAACCTTTTACACAGCTAGATCGTCTCTTTTTGGGCTCCTGGACTTCGGAAAAACGTTCATATGCAATGCCTGTAACTAATTCATCCTTCCTCTCTCTGTTACTTAAAAAAACATTATAATGTAACAAATCCCATATATATAAACATTTCCGGTTAACATTTTGTGTATATGTAGCCCTCTATTGTCTGTAAGGCACTAACCTCATTACATACAGTATGAAAAACAGTGGTCAAATATTGGTCAAATTTAGACTAGAGGTCTCTTTTTATGTTTTAGTTTGACGTCCGGAATCTCCACCATGACCTTCTGTTCCTCAATATAATTCACCACGGATGGAGGAATTTTTTTCTTTCTGCATTTGATGTACAAGATCACAGCCATGGCAACAATGAAAACAGCAACGGAAACAACAACAAGCGGAATTTGCCGGGACCGATTCTGATTCACAGGATTCGCTATAGGGTTCACTGAAATGAGAAATAGGAAACAGGTCGTTTTATGCCATTTTTATTTGACTAAATCATTGTAAATTAGTTCTTAACAATGCTGGCACCTTGGTTCACTGGATGGTGTGTCTGTCTCACTATTAGTTGACCTAATAAGAATTAGTGTCTAATATAGCGTTTTCAATCAGTTACTAAATGTATTGGCGTTAATCACAATCAATTGGTAAACTTGGTAATGTGATTTGCGTTAACGTTCCCGCACTTAGGTTTCTTTGTGGTCATGTTGTGTCTCTTCCTGTTTGCTGTCCCTTTGAGTGACGTGTTGTGAGTGAAGGCAAACCAATGTTTTATTTAGGTTTTCTCCCCTCTTTGTTAAACTCACAGTTGGGATTAAATATGTGGTACATTAACCTGGCTTAATGAAACATTTATGTAGGCACTTTATTGAATAATTATAACCAGATCGTTAATCTTTTTTAAGAACCTAAAGAAGATATAGAAAGTAGCAAACAAATGCCATACTTAAGCTATTAAATAATAATATAATAGTATTAATATTCTATTACCTTGATACTCAATAGTAATAACTACTGTCTGTTAATCTGTTCAGAACTGTTACATCTTTAATCGGTTATTGTAATGTGAAAACCCCATATCTCTGTCACACAGTCAGGTCCAGAAAATCAAGAACAGGTTTTGCAACATTGTCTGCTGAATATAAACCACAGTAGGGGAATTCCTTCAGATGCTGTAAGCAAAACTAACTGCTTCCTGATAATCAAACAAACAAGAGTGTAGCATTCTTTATTCTCGTCCACTGTGCTTCTTACAATTGACACTTTGTGGGTGAACTACAAACTGAAAGATACAGGAAGACTCTTTTCTTATCTACTTGAAATGTAGCTAGAAGGTAGACCACATATGATTTCCTTTGCAATATATTTGCTCTTACTCTATTTTATGTATCTGTATTTTAATGCTCTTTATTCATTATTTTATTTATTTATTTAATTACTTTATTTGCTGAATTAGTTTGTTTTGCTCTCTATTGTAGTTTTCTTCTCTGCTTAATTTCTAGGAGACAGGGCTGTTATACATGTTTCAAATGTAAGAAATGTAAACTGCTGTCAGCAGACCATTAAGTGGTATTAACACACGCAAAACAATGGTCCTATAACGACAACGTTTAGTGTATTTGTCGAGACGTGTTGACTCACCTGGGGTTGGTTGAGAGGCCTTAGGATCCCAGATAGGGCTGCTGCAGGTGTCTGAAAAAAAGAGTAAAAACTCAGAGAAGAAGATGAATTTGCATTTCTCCAGACAGATACTCCTATAAAAACAGGGGGATGGAAAATAACTTGTTAAAATCTTTAGTATTTCTCTTCAATCTACTCTTTGTCTCTTTTAGCCTTTGATAATGTCAGTCTGCTTTAACCTTTGCTCTCAAAGTATAAAACAAAATGACATTAATTTTTAAAGGAGCCTTCTATAAACTGAAACTACAAACTTTTCAATAGCAGTTAAAAAGCGGAGTATCAGTGTAGGTTATGAAAGCTCAGTGGTGTTTTAGTTTTTCCAACTTTATTTGAACCTCCCACATAATTAGTAAAAAGAGTCTTTGACAGTTACAGGAGGGGGGCGGTTTACAAATACTTACATGTGCAGTGGGCTCTCTCGTCGGTCTAAAGGAAGAAGGAGATACACAGAGAAGGATATAATTAGAACTAGTAAATATTCAACAGATTTTAACAACTGTGGACAAACACAATGCTAACATTCCGCAAAGATCTTCAGGTTAACATAACCGCTGCTTTGGATTTGTAGTCAGTTACTTAAAAATGTAACAGATTAAATTATTATGCGTTTTTTCAGGATTTGTTCTGTACAGAGACAGGAAGTGCACACTAAGATTTTCAAGTGTGAGATTGCAAAAAATGTGGTCATCGCTTTTTGCTGCTTTTTCAGAATAATAATGAGCTAAACACTTTTAGGGGCTTCAACTGTTGGTCAAACTAAAAATATATTTAAATATGTCACCTTGAGGTCTTAGAAATAATGTTCAGCATTTTTAGCTTATTTCTAAACATTTTCCAGATAAAAAGGGAAAAAAGCATACATTTTTTGGCCATAAAAAACACGAGAAATAGCAGAATTTACATTAAAAAAAGACCAATTAATTTAATATTTTGTGCTCATACATTTTTTGTGGGCTTTCATTTTTTAAGAGGAGTTTTGGTAAGGACTATTTATCATCTACCCGTAGTCGGGGACAACAGGTGAGCTCTTTTAGCCGCACTAAAATAATACAAATACGCAAAAAACCTGACAAAATGTACTTTCACTTTAATCTATCACCGTCATCCGGTCAACATTTTGAATGTGTCTAATACTATGTGTTTATGACTAAATACATGCAGAAATAATGACATTCCCATCAGCCTCAGATTAAACTTGGTGTTTAATCACGAAATATAAAATAAATAGATTAAATATAACTAATACGATCCATTTTTAAAATGTTGTTGGGATAAAAAAATGCGGATTTGGTAACATGTTCCCTTATATAAACGCTATCATATAAGCTGGGTAAAAGTTGCTTGTTATAGTTTTACTGAATTATGTATGCATTTTCTCATGTGCTATAAAATGCAGTAACCGGTAAATTCAAGTAGAAGTATAAACTCTTGAGAGATGATCCAAAAATACAAAGTGCCGGAAATTTGATTTCAGAAAATGTGTGTTACTCACCAGTCTGTTGTCCTTTGAGGAATCCGAATTTGACTGAAGAAACATGGAGAAGAAAACAGTAAAATGTCAGATAAAATTATGGATATTTATTTTTTGGATTTAAGACCAACTGGTTTAATATAAAACAATGCATTATATATATTATTTTTTGAGTGTGTGTGTGATTCCATGTGTTTATTTTCAGGTAAGTGCAAATGGAGCCAACAGCAGCATGTCAGAGATGAACATGGAAGAGGTTGCTATGGGACGCGACGCATAATGTAACTGGTGACACAATAACGCTGGATATTATCAGGATATCTACAGACAATCTTTAAGTCTGTTTATATAGTGCAATTTGGCTCAAATTATGTATACTTATATTATAAATGAATAAAGATGAAGAGAGAGAGAGTCTGTTGCATTATATTTTCTAAACTTATCCTATTTTTATTTAAAAGAATAGCATCTACACCATTGTTTAAAATGTTGGAATTTGCTGTTATACAATGTTTAGCTTCTTTCACTCAATAACAACTGTTTAACAAAGACTAAAACTGTATAATTCCAACACTAATTGTGAAAAACAAGAATAGAACTTGAATAATTTCACTCCAGTTCAGAGGTGTTTCAGTATTGACAACTATTCGTTGAACCTCCCACATCATAGTATGCCTAGATTGTAGGGGAACTCTTCATATGTGACATTACAGACATAGAAATATCTAAAACTCCCTATGTACTCATGCTATGTGACTTTAACACATCTGAAATGTGTTCAATATACTTCCATCTATGATTTGAACTGTGATTTTAAATGTAGTCTTAAGTGAATGTACTTACACCACAGGTGCTTGTGTAGTCAATGTTGTTGTGGCATAGTTTCGAGGTGAGAGACTGGTCCGTCAGGCTCTGGACTTTATTTTGATCGTAGCCCTGGTTCCGGGCGAGGACTACTCCCTGGGAAATAAAAACCCAGACAGCCGGGTTCAATAAGACGTCAGATTAACTAATAAAGCACAAAGTTAGTCGATTGTCTAACTTTTGAATGACAGTTCATACAACTATTGCACTCCTGTAACAACATTTTGTCTTTTTTTTACAAAAAAGAGTGTCCTCTCTTGTAAAAGAGCGTAGATTATGCAGATTCCTTGGATTTCAAAAGCATCTGGTTAAAATCATTGCGCCCATATAAATGTAATATTCAGTCCCCCTCCATTGTTTTATTTACTGTGGGTGGTAAGGGTTACAGTTCTAAGGCATGTTTACTGCTTGCAAAAAACAGATTTCACTACAAAGGTTTTCCACACTGATGTGAAAGTGTGGAACGACTCCCCCTTTTCTTTAAGGACAGCAAACATACTGGTTTAGTTCAAATGAACATGGTAAACATTATAACTGCTAAACAATTAAATGTTAGATTTGTCATTGTGAGAATGCTGATGATAGCATTTAGCTGTAAGCAATGCTGCTTGCATGGCTTAAAGCAATGTTATTTCACTCCCGCAGCGACTACCAGAGAGCTGAAATCACAACATGTTATCTCTAGTTTCATTCACAGTTGCAAGGTAAAATGTTATGAAATTAGTGACTGATAGGCGTACTATCAATATGACTAAACTGTGACCAACCCGATGAAGAGATGACTTAGAGATGGTGATTCAAACCTAAAAGTCTCCATTGAATTGATCAGGATAATTGTGAACCGACCACTCTGTGTTAAAGTCGGCAGGAGAGGGGGTTAGCTGTTAGCTGATAGCTGTTAGCAACCAGTGGGCAGGTCAGTACTAAATACGGGGCTAACAGCTAACGTTAGCAGAGCATAGAGTTACATTGTGATGGGTTAAAGCTCTATTCATTAAAACTAGTATTGGCAAAATGTGAGTTTCCTGCTCAAGTTTTTTTAACCCCATCTTGTTCCGAGTCCTAGTGGTAACTTCTTTCTGCACTCTGTAACAGTGATTATAAAAAAAAAACATATTTTCAAATGTTCTGTGTCCATGCACAAATTGAAAATGTGCATAAATACAGGTGAACAAACAGGTGATCCGGCCTGGGTAAACCTGCAGGGGGGATTGAACTCCTACTGGCACTGCTCTCAGGGTGTCAGAAACACACAAGGGAGGACACCAAAATAACTTTACTGTGTACAGAAGAATTTATGGCTCTGATACCCCTTTCACACCAACGGTGTTTCAGGGCCGGTTCGGTGCTGGTGCTTGAAAAGCACCGGGTTTTCCTGTTCACACCGCAGCGGAGCAGCGTCATAGCTCCGGAATCCGGTTCGTTTCGAGCACCAAAAAGTTGTCCGTCTAGAAGCAAGAACCGCATACGTCACGCTTACGTCGGAGGGGGGCGAGATTAACCTGAGCTAACACTTAAGGCGAGTACGGCAAATAAAAGTTGTAACAAGCAGTAGTGCTGAGCAAAGTGACTAGAACGCAACCACACACTTGTTAAAAAAAACACACTTTATAAAGTCAAGCAACACTAACCAGGCTTCGTGTGATTCTGTTTATTTGTACCTTACTTTGACCATCCGTTCGCTGTTATTGATCATTGTGGAGAGCAGGCAGACGTTTTGTTTGTTATTATAGCAGCTATCGGATGGAATCAATACATGGGCTGCACAGGTTGTCATGTCCGACTATCACAAGTAGAATCATAATGAAAAATACGTCGGTAAAAAGTGCCTGTAGAAAACTGCTTAGCAAGTAGTCAGTTTAGCTTCGGTTGCTATGCTAACATCACCCATGTTATACCAGAGAAACTTTCATAACAGCGTTGTGATGCCAAACAGCGTAAATTCAGACTGACACCAAACAGCGTCAATTCAGACTGACACACATTCACTTAAGGGGAACTGGGGATATGTATCAGCTGCTTGTGTGACAGTCAGACAGTGAATACTTTAGAGCCGTGTGAGCTAACCCGGAGCTAACGGGAGAATACACTCGTGGAAGAGCAGCCGGCCAGCACTGCAGCGGTCGGTAAATGCCGCTGAAACACATTAATAAACAATGAACCACGGCACTCTGGAGAAAAGTATAAGGTTGGAGAAGTCGTTATTTAATTTAATCTGGCTTCGTATGATTAAAAGCAACGCAGTCCCCGGCCCGTTGTTATTGTGAGGTGAGCTCCGGCGTTGGGGAGAAACTCAGCGACGTAAACTGTGACGTCATGACGCAGCAGCGGCAGCACCAGTCGGGCTCTGAGCGGTGTGAAAAGAGCCGGCGCTAAACCGAAGAACCGGTTCTGAACCAGAAAAGCTCTAGCACGGAGCTTGAACCGGAGTTGCGTTGGTGTGAAAGGGGCATCAGATTGCCTTATCTGACCCTCTGACGATAAAAAGCATCCTTCAGTCTGATCCTAGCTTCCTAAACTGTGTAAACTGGTTACAATGATTCGGACTTACATTTTTGTCCACCCAGCTGGTATTACAATCGGAGGAGCGGGACAGTAGGTGAAGGAACCCATCTGGTGTTTTGGTGACGTTGCAGGTTAGTTCTGGTGGAGCATCTGCTGCAGCTGCAAACATCACTGCAAGAGCTGAAAATACTGAAAAGAAGAAAAATGTAAGTTATTAATAAACTAAATTCAGACATTAAAATGTTAACTCATTTCTTACAGGAATGTCATGAACATTATTATTATTATACATTATTAAGATATTGTAATGCAGATGCAATGCTATTATTAGCAAGCTGATGTATGATGTCCTTTTGTTGTTCTGTTGTTTATGTTTTTATGTCTTCATGTGGAACCTACTGCTGCAGGTCTCCCTTGAAAAAGAGATCAATGATCTCAATGGGATTTCATCTGGATAAATAAAGGTTTTGAATTGAATTGAAGCTAACATGCTAACTAGTAACTCTGTTGTCAAGTCATACCTGTGCAAGTACACAATGAGGATGTATGGTATGTACAATGTTCTTTCTCTGGGGCCAGTGATGCTATATTCAACATTTGCAGTCAACACATACATGTACATTTCTACTCTTATTTAATTTTCCGGACTGCTAATGCGTTATAGGTTTTTTGTGCATGTAAATGGTCTGCAAAGGCTCAATTCCCCAAAGTTCCCTCCAGAGGGAGTTTCTCTCCCACATACTCCCCCCCTGCCTGAAACACCTGCATTGGACTCCTTTGTTTACTTCCTTGACGTAGTGACATCACAATGTAACACTCACGCTTCTATTTTCAAGTGCTCCAACACATTGTACGTGATAGGCTATGTGGTGGGACATCTCTAAGATCAATCACAACAGAGTTGGCCAGCTAGCCAATCAGAGCAGACTGGGCTCTGGTTTCAGACAGAGGATGAAAAGAGGTGCTGCAGCACAGGCAGTATGAGAGAAATAAAGAGCTTTTTGAACATTAAAGCATGTACACATGTCCCAGAAGAGGCTCCAAAATACAAGTATGAACCTGAAAATTAGCAGAACAGGGCTCCTTAAAGGCATAAAGACAGACACATTTGGATTGGCCAGGACGCAAGCTGAGGCTTAAATTCTGAATATCAAGAAAAAGGAAGTCTGCAGTATATCATCAATGCAAGTGTAGTGTATCAAAGCCAAAACTATTTAAAAACAGATTAATGAGTCACATTGCTGCACTGGACACACACACACACACTTTTTTTATAGAGTGTGCATCTAAATGGTCTGCTATGCGACAGACTAAGGGGTGGGACATCTCTACGCAGTTGACTAATCACAACAGATCCCGCCAGCTAACCACTCAGAGCAGACTGGGCTCTGGTTTCAGACAGAGGGTGAAAAGATGTGCTGCAGCACAGGCAGTATGAGAAAAATAAAGAGCTTTTTGAACATTAAAGCATGTAATCATGTTGCAGCAGAGGCACTGAATACAAATATGAACCTGAAAATGAGCATTATAGGGCCCCTTTAAGGCAATATGTGACACAAGAAGTAAAATGAAACAGGACAGCCACTTTATGTACATCTTCAACACATGTCAAAGATACTGAGGTTTTACACCAATAAAGTATCTATAATATACATTTGCTGGCAACTTTGATGATAAAGATACAGTAGTTACCAAATGATTTGGTAACCCCATATAAATAAGAAGACTGAATTATAGCATTTTCCAATATTTCACAAAAGCAAAAACGAAAATAATATACATTTGTTAAGCAATTCCTTCTCCCCTGTCACCCGGCCCACCGCTGAGGGACGTGCTCAGAGCAGATGATTAAGACATGATCTCCATACTGTCATTGGGGTCATGTAACAAAACCCTGCAGTGTGCCCACAGCTGGCAGAGCCGAACGTGAGGGTGACGCTGTATGAAGGACCTGGCTCAGAGTGATGTTTGTGCTGGCTTTGCTCCTCCGGCCATGCTCACACACGCACACACACACACACACACACACACGCAAACAACTCGCTGACTTGGAGAGTCCTTAAACGTTTCCCAGAAATGAATCACTTCCTGAACCAAGTAGAGCCCTCACAGTGGGGGAGGAGTCTCCACATTTCCTCATCCTCTAACTCAAGCAGCCTTGCTTACCACTTGAAGAGTCTGATAAAGACGCAGATTCATGGATTGTTTGCTTTATACTTTGATTCCACTTTAACAAGATGATAAACTTTGGCGGCGTGTCTATAATTCTTGTGTGTTCAGCATTATACAGACAGATTACCTAGGGTGTACAAATGAAAAGGTAACACGCTGTAGCTTTCACCTCTAAAGCAGAATAAGATTAATATGAAGTCTATTCAAATGAATCATGGTTAACTCTCACTATAATCTACAGAGGCGGGACGGATTTCCTTTTCTCTCTGGTTTACCACAAACACAGAGAGACTACTGACACACACACCACACTGCCTCACATACTGTAAACACATGCTCAAAGACCGTTAACGCTTTACCACAGCCACCACAGTTAACAAGACAATTAAACAGTAAAGCTCACAAAAAAGGGAAAAGTAAATACTAATCTAAAGCATGAACCAATAAAAACCCTCCAAATCAGATGTCTTTGTTTGCCAGCATTTGTTTAAAATTAAAAGTATTCCACATAATTTATTAGAAGTTCCTGTTTGCAGTGTATCCATGGAAGTATGGAGTTGGAGTACTTTGAAACATTTTTCCGTTATGCAGTGTCTTCTCCCATGATTTTTAAGTGTATCTATAGACATTTATTTAAATTACAGATGTTGATGTGCTTGACATAAAGCATGTTAAATGAAATGCATCATGTCATTGTGTCCAGATTTGATCAACCTTTGACGGAAGCCAAATTTAGCATTCAAACTACAATCTTCCTCTTTTAAAGCACCAACATGTTGCTTATCTTAAATGTAACTCCTCTTGTGTCTTGTCCTGTCTTACTTCCTGTGTTTTGTGTGCCTGATGTCTTGTCTTGTGATTAGTCGTTTGTCTATATAGTCTTGTTTTCCCTAGTGTACTCTGTCGGTGTGTTGTTGTTGTTCCCCTCGTTGTTACTGTTGGTTTACCCTGAGCTCTTATACCTTGTGTTCCTTATTTTGTCCCCTGTGCTCCCTGGTTTTGTACATGATTAGTTTTTCTTTGATTATCAGCTTTTTTGTTAATAAAAGCTTGCTTATTGTTAAATCTATCTGCCAGCTCATTTTTAACTGCACTTGAGTCTGACTTCCTATCAAACCCTGGCACTCTTGTCCAGTCTGCAGGTGGAAAGTACCCACAAGATGCCACTCCTTTTCCAGGAACATCAATCCATTTCAAGGAATCTCTGATACACTTTTAATGATGTTTCTTGCAACGTTACACCACATATCAGACTGCCTTTTTAGGTCTAACAAACATGTAATGTACACACTATCAAGAACATACTACATCATGTTACTAAACTGGAATATTGAGGCTTATAATAATGTATGAATTATGTAAATGACTCATGAACAAATCAAAAAGCATCTTCGTATGATAGGCTACTTAGTGTCTTATAGCATGTTTGGATAGTTTGGATATTATAAGTTGCTGCTGCAGATGGAAACCCCCATTGCAGGAAACATCACTTAATATCGAGTTTTTGTTCTTACACGGTGCCTTATTTTTATTTACCTTATTTTCTGTATTATTACTTTGTCTTAACTTTTCACCCACCAACAACATGCATTTTCTTTTTCGTTTCTTTTTACACAAAAAACTGCAATGTATTTTCCTTTATATGTCTTGAATGTGATTTGATTAATGCAACTAAAATAGATTTGTATTATTTTTTTCAGGTTTACATTTGATGACATTCCTGAAGTGTCATTTAACAGCCAACTCATAAATCAGTAGTTTGGTTTGACCTCTTTAGCACTGTAATCTAGATGCGTAAAACAACTTTTTCAACTTACCGATTGCAAGCTCAAATGTGGTGTTAGTCATTTTGAAGTTCATGTTGTCAGCGGAGAGGATAAAGCAGTGTGGCGGCGCTGGTTGAAATAAGGTCGATACCGCATATATACGTGAGGACGGAAACTTCTGGAAAAGTGACGAAACTCAGAGAGACACCGGGAGGGCTGAAACAATGACGTAGCGATACATGATGGCCCAATCCCAAACCACTCCCTCGACCCTACCCCTCCGTGGCGGAGTGAACTCCGTCTGTAGCCACACTCGCAGCTCAACGAGGCTCCCTCCTGTCAGATGGAGGGAGTAAATACAGCGGCAAGCTTTGGGACAAACTCCCCTCTCTCCCGCAGAAACAGGAAATGCCGTAACTGTATGTAACAACTGTTTCAAATCAGCATCTCTTAGACAAAAAAGGTAAATTAAGAACTCAAATAAAACTCCAAACATCTTTCATTGTGTTACTTTTTTGTAAAGCTCTTTTACCTGATGTTTATAAGCTTCTTAGTTTTTGCAACAGTCTGTAAATATACACAACTTTATAATAAAATGCACACATTTACCTTTTTCTAGACTAAACACAGGTACTGTATGATCCTAAGTTAAAAAAATATGAGGTTATCATGAGGTTGTTAACATCGCAATTTATCAGTGGATGTTTGCTGGAACTACTTGTAAACAGCGTGTTTCCTGACGGACACACACAGCGTGACTCCGGTCAGGTAGAGACCAGTCTCAAGTCAGCACCGATGCAGACTCGCTGTTGAGGGCTTGATAGCCCACTCCCCCTCCACACCTCTCCACCAAGCCCCCAGGAAGTGCGCCGGACTCTGATGAAAATATTCGTGCTGGCCAAACGGCGGTACTACACTTCCTTTTGGTTGCCAGGCCCGGAAACACTTTTTCCCATTGACTTACATGGGGAAAGAGTGGTTTGTAAATCGTTGGATAATTTTTTTTAAACTAAATAAACTACCCAGTATGAACACTTGTATAGCCCTTATTAAAAACATTCGTTCCTCAAGTTGTAAAATGTGCTAATAACGTTATTCTGAGAGTTATTTCCCTCTGCATTATGAACGCGCATCTAACCCACGGGACCGCGCCGCCCGGCACGTTCATGTTACGTGTTCAGCACTACATGCGTTTATCTTTAGTCTTTACCCATGGATGCACAATAAGAACGGACCCATATCGCCTTACTGCCAGCCCACGGAGCTGTAATAATGGATATATTGCACATGTTTGCTGTAATTCATCATTTGTAAAATATTATACTACATGGGCTGTATGATTAAATCTTGTACCGTAAATGTTGTATTAAATAAAGTTAATATTACCGACGTAGATTAACGTCCCTGTAGCTTCTTATTGCACTAAGAAGCTTATTGCACTGTGTGTATATATATACACACAGTGCAATAATTATTTCATGCTAAATGAAGCTCTGTTGCTTGGATATCACTAGATCCTGTTACAGCGTAATATAAAAGTACATAACGATTGATGTGTAAATTAGCATAATTACTAGCTAACCGCTAGCTGCTAACTGCCGCCTCGTTAATATCAAATCTATCATAACAAACATTACCATGCTGTCATGAACGTGCGGTGCTGTTACGTGTACGCAAATTGACGTGCTTGATGTGAACGAGCATTTTGGGGGGCATGGTTAAAGTTGCGCATGCGCTATGAGCGCACATACGGGTACTTCTCAGGCATGCCGGGTAATCTGTGACGTTTCGCTCTCTCAAAAGTTGGGCCATTTTATCATCATGCGCGAATGAGCAACTCTCATAGGAATGAATGAGGCCCCGCCTCCCACGCTGTATCCAGTTCTTATTATACATCCATGGTGTGGAGAGGTGTGGAGGGGGAGTGGGCTATCAAGCCCTCAAACAGCGGAGAAGGGTCCAGCTGCGGCCGCGGCAAGTACACGACACTACACGACACGCCCCCTACACGACACGCCCACCTGACACGACCCTACGGTGGCTGAGAGACATTACCGTACATGGCAGATTAAAAACGAATTGCAAATGTTATTGTAGCATTTTAAGCAACTATTAGGCAAATAAATTAATAACCTAGTCTATCCGTTTGAGACACAACAGTATAACTTTCAACCCAAATCATTTTGTCAACAAACGGTGGTTTAGTAAACCTTTTTTAATATATAAAATAGGTATTAATGAGATAATCTATTAATTATGTTTGTCTAACTGCTACACATGTATTTATACATAAATGTAGATGTTTGTGAACATCTAAATATAGTTTAGGGGTCCTTAATGACCCCACATCATGGGGTCATTAAGGACCAAATTAGGAGGGCCAGTCAGGCCACTAATGAGCTCAATCATTCACATGTATTATTATTACTTTATAAATTAAAAGTACTAGGGGTCTATTACAAAACCTTTGAAGGAATCGTCATGCATTCTGAATGTTTCTGTACTTTAAAAACATCATGGCTCAAGATCCTGTTCTTGTTCAAGATTATTCATACTCATTTGTGAATTTAACATCCATATTCACTCAAAACTGAAACAACACCAACATTTTTTTTTAAAGCATTGCAGGCCTAAAGCTCCACGTCAGTGACCTATATTTTAATTTCTTCCATCAAACTTTAAAAATGGCAAACAGCATGTTTTTAAAGATTTAATCTTTTAAGAAACAAAATATCAAATTTGAACAGAAGGGTTTAAAAACACGTTTTTAATGCAAATAAACTTGAAACATAAACCTATTTGTCATTTCAAAATTCACTTGTATTGTCTGCGTGAAAGGCACAGTTGGTTATGAGCGAATACATATCTACATTAAAAAAATGACAAACTCGTACAATATATACCATGTGCTACTGTCTAGGATTAAGTATGATGAGACTTTTTTTAAGGAGGGACCCCAGAGCCAAGGGCAGGCCGAGCAGACCGCCTTCTCCCGCCGCAGGCTTCCCCGGTGATGGGCTCCGTGTAACAAGTCCCCTCAGTCTGTACGGGGAGCTGCACCACGGTGATGCTGCTGTCATCGCTCGCCTCTCCTCCGGTGGTGCCCTCGGCTCCCTCCGCCGCCACACTGCCCAGCACACTGGAGATCACTAATGTCTCTCAGCCACCGTAGTGTCGTGTCAGGTGGGCGTGTCGTGTAGGGGGCGTGTTGTGTAGTGTCGTGTACTTGCCGCGGCCGCAGCTAGACCATGGGTGTTTCTCAATCGCGAGTAAAGCTGCTCCAGAGCCACTATTTCAAGCATACTACGTCATCGAGTGCCGCCGAAGTACTGTTCCAATCTCCAGCATACTTGGAAATCTACCGAGCCCGGCGTACTCCGTTTGGAGAAATATCGAGGCTGCACATGAGTAGACTCCGCGGTCTTAAAATCCCCACAATGCTTTGTGCACGGACCAATTTCCCTAAATCTGTGGCGGAAGATGTAAGGCGGGGCCTCTCATATGACGCACACCTGCACACTTGCTAGCGTGTTCCACACTTCGTTTTCCGAATGCCAGGAAGTATTCTTGACTCGCTTCTGAAGCAAGATGCTCGGCAGACATGTGCTACCAAGCAAGCGTACTCGCGATTGAGAAACACCCCATGGCTGCGTTTCACTTAGGTTAAATGGATTCCTTGCGTCCCTCACTTGCGTTGTTTCCCAGCGTTTAGTCCCTCCCACCAGGGAAGCATGGAGAGACGCAAGGAAACCACGAGAAGCAGGGAAATGAGTTTTAAGAGCAATGGGACGTCCTTTCCTCCGGAGCGTCACGTGAAGCGACGTCCGTTTGTGATGACGCTGCACAGCTGATCGTCTGACAGCAGCCAGCTCTGTCCCCGTTATTTTCACAAACACCCCCGCCTCTGTTAGTACACATTTACTGACACAAACATTTGTATCATCTGTTGTAGACCCAAATAAATCAAATCAAATAAGAACTCATTCTCAAAAAAGATAAACGCCATTCTTAAAATGTATAAACGAACAATAGTTAGATTAATATTGATTAGAGTGCACAATAGAAATAAAATAATTGAGAGAAGAAAAAGAGATATGTTATCTATCAAAACCCAGTTAGATTAACATTCATTGGATTGAACACTTTGTCTGTTTGTGTGGATATGTAGCAAATTAACATGTTAAATAGCACTTAATGACTGACTGAATGGAAATGACAATAAATGAACATGTAAAATGGAAAAAGCGATCATGAAAATGTTTCCAATAAATGAATAAAATAATTTTTGACCACTTTGTTGTTCAGATATATCACATATTTGTAACTGAATGATGCATGAATTGAAACAAAACACAGTATGAACTGAGGAGTGAGTCCCGTGAGTTTCATGTGTTTTCTTCACTCCGCTGGGAAACTCTGCTCTCAAGCATCAGATCAGTGCATGCGCTGCATCGTCCAATCAGTGAGCGATACACAGTAAGGGGGCGGGGCGAGTGTCTGAGGATTTCATCGAAGGATGGTCTGGTGGTTCCTCGATTATAGCTCCTCCATTATCGCTCCTCGCTCCTCGGTCCTCCGGCAAAAATAAGGCCATAGAGTGGCGAAGTCCCTCCCCTTCCGGTGGACCTCCATGGGACCTTATTTCGGAAAAATTATGTATTGACGTCAATGGAGAGAGAAAGATTATCTTTCGATCCCGTTTGAATTGTGCCATGAATTACACATATGATGTTTGTCAATTTAAAAGATAATTTTGCAAGTCAAAAAAAAAAAAATGTGTCGTAAAACTGTGAAGTAACACATTTGTTTGTGTGAAACGCTCAATGAACTACATCTCTGGTCAACAACACACGTCACCAAGATGGCCGTCACTACTGTCTTGTCAACAAAACGATTGACTATCCTCACTATCACCACAATGAAACACGTCCTGAAGAATGTCATGCAAAGCTGCCTGCCTGCCTTCCTTTGATTCTCTCTGAACTGCCTGGTCGTTTTAATGTTTAATGTCAACCATTTGTGCAGATAGCATGAAGTAGAGAAGATCGCCGATGCTAACGTTAGCGTTAGCATTTCTCCCCCGGGCTTAAATGGTGTATTATAGAATGATCACACAGGTGACAGTACTATTCAAAGGGTTCACGAAATATGACTACTACTCTTACTGTTTAACATTTTGGGTTACTTAAAGCTCCCATGTCATGCTTTTCCGGTTATTACCCGTCCCCTTGTGTGTTATGAAGGTTTTTATGCATGTAAACGGTGTGCAGAGTCAAAACCCTCAAAGTACACCCTGTA